TGTGTCCTCATTGATGGTTTGTTTTTTTTTTTGAGACAAGAGTCTCACTATATCACCCTTGGTAGAGTGCCGTGGCGTCACAGGTCATAGCAACCTCAAACTCTTGGGCCTAGCCATTCTCTTGCCTCAGCCTCCTAAGTAGCTGGGACTACAGGCACCTGCCACGATGCCCGGCTGTTTTTTTTGTTGCAGTTGTCATTGTTGTTTAGCAGACCCTGGCCAGGTTTGAACCCGCCACCCTTGGTGCATGTGGCTGGTGCTGTAACCACTGTGTACAGGCATGAAGCCCTCATTGATGGTTTCTGTCAACTACTTATTTCTCTATGAGCAGGCCATTCTTTCCTATTTCTTTGTATGTTTTGTAAATTATTTTTGAAAACTTGCTATTTTTAAGTATTATAATGTGAAAATTCTGCCAATTGAATTGCTTTTTACATGATTTGCATTTGTTTGTTTTGTGACTTTTCTACACTATTTGTGTAAAAATTGTATTATTAGGTTTTTTTTTTTTGAGACAGAGTTTCACTCTATTGCCCTGAGTGCCATGCCATCATCACAGCTCACAGCAACCTCGGTCTGTTGGTTTAAGAGATTCTCTTCTCTCAGTCTTTCAAGTAGCTGGGATGATAGGTGCCAGCCATGATATCTGGCTAGTTCTTCTATTTTAGGAGAGACGAGTTCTTGCTCTTGGTCAGGCTGGTCTGGAACTTGGAAGCTCAAGCAATCCTTCTACCTCAGCCTCCAGTAGGATTACAGGAGTGAGCCACTGCACCCAGCCTGTAAAGATTGTACTCTTTGTTGTGTGTGGTCACTGAAGTCCCTTTTCTATTGGCTTGAATGGCCAGTGCTAAAATAAAACAATAAAACAAAATAAAAATCCCCCTGTCCTGCTCTTCGCAGGTTGGCTCTGAGTTGGGGCTCTCAGTCAACACACCCAGGTCATTTCTAATTTTCTTAGTCCTTCACTGTCTGTTTACACAGAAACTAAGGTTCAGCCAGAGGTGAAAGTCTAGGGTCTACATGGATTTTTCTGAGCATGTATTGAACCCTAGACATGCACATAGCCTTCTAGATTTGTCTGCTGCTTGTTTTGTTATCCTTTGTCTCAGGCAGTTATAGGTAGTACATACATTTTTTTTTTTTTTTCTGAGACAGAGTCTCACTCTGTTGCCCAGGCTAGAGTGACACGGTATCAGCCTAGTTCACTGTAGCCTCAAACCCCTGGGCTCAAGTGATCCCCCTGCCTTGGCCTTCCAAGGCCCACCACAATGCCCAACTACTTTTTTTTTTTTTTTTTTGAGTAGAGATGGAGTCTTACTCTTGCTCAGGCTGGTCGCAAATTCCTAAGTGGAAGAGATCCTCCCACCTAGGCCTGTCAGAGTGCTAGGATTACCGGTATGAGTCACTGTGCCAGGCCTGTAAATGCCTTCAATAAAATCTACCATCAGGCCTGTTCCAGCCTTGAAGAAGTTGGGAGAAAAATGTCAACTCTAGCAGTTTTTGCCAGATTACTTGTTGCTTTAGTGGGAGATACAGGGTTTTGGAGTTCCAAAACTGCTGTTTTTGGTGACATCACTTCCTTGTATGTATTTATTTTTTGAGAACCAAAGTTTGGTAAATAATGTGGCTGACTCACTATGTCCACATCTGAAGGCTTCATTTCCCTCCATAACATCTTTCCCGATTCTCTTGGGTTAACAAGCGCAGTTTAGTTATATCTAAACTAGAAATATGAGACTCTTTCTTAACTCCTTCTACTCCTACCTTTCCTATCAGCCACTAAGACCTGATTTTACACCTTAACTATTTCTTAAATTTTTTCCATTTACAATATGTAGTACCACAATCCTGATTTGGAGCCCTCTAACAGAGTGATTTAGGCTACCATAGTAGCCTGTTAAATAAATGCTCTCCTTAACCCATGTCTTGCTGTCCTTAAAGCGACTTGCCACACAGCCATCAAAACCATGTAACTTAGGCCATGACATTCATTTGCTTAGAAGTGTTTGACAGTAGGCCAAGCAGACACTATGTGGCTCTTGATGTGACACACATAGCACTACCTGTGAAACAGTCTCACCAAAATAACTTTGATGTGAACCTAATCAAGTCTTTAGATCTAAATTTTAGTTATAAGAAATACAGAGAATAGAACAACAAGTTAAATGACAGCATCAGAAAGCAGTCAATTCCAGAAGATATTCTGTAAGTCACTTGTCCTGGTTTTTTAAATAAGGCAATGGCATAGAAAAGTGTGCTAGGTGAGAGAGAATACCCTCATGAAAAGAGACTTAAGAGAAATCATTATTAAATATCATTAGTGACCTCTGATTGCATCCTGACCTGAACAAACTAACTGGAGTACTCAAAGCCTGTAATCTTAGCACTCTGGGAGGCCAAGGCAGGTGGACTGTTTGAGCTTAGGAGTTTAAAACCAGCCTGTGCAAGCAAGAACAAGACCTTATCTCTAGTAAAAATAGAAAAACTGGCTGGGTGTAGTGGCACATGCCTGTAGTCCCAGCTACTTGGGAGGCTGTTTTTAAACTGCTGTAATATCTCAATTAAATCCATATTCTTGACTGCATGCTATTTCACTCATAAATACTTTTTCTCCTTATGTTATGTAACACTTGCTATTAAAAACAAGACAGGGAGGGGGCTTGGTGCCTATAGTTCAGCGGCTAGGGCGCCAGCCACATACACCTGAGCTGGCAGGTTCAAACCCAGCGTGGGCCTACCAAACAACAATGACAACTACAACCACAAAATAGCTGGGCGCTGTGGAGGGTGCCTGTAGTCCCAGCTACTTGAGAGGCTAAGGCAGGAGAATCACTTAAGCCCAAGAGTTTGAGGTTCCTGTGAGTTGTGACGCCATGGCACTCTACCGAGGGAGATAAAGTGAAACTGTCTCAAACAAACAAACAATAACAACAACAAAAAAACCCAAACAAACAAGGGCTTGGCACTCATAGCACAGTGGTCAGCCACCTATACCAAGGCTGGTGGGTTGGAACCTGGCCCGGGCCAGCTAAACAACAATGACAACTGCAACAAAAAAAGGAAAAACAGCTGGTGGGCATTGTAATGGGTGCCTATAGTCCCAGCTACTTGAGGCTGAGGCATGAGAATTGCTTAAGCCCAGGAGTTTGGGGTTGCTGTGAGCTGTGACACCACAGCACTCTATTGAGGGCAACATAATGAGACTCTGTCTCAAAAAACAAACAAACAAAAAGAAACAAGAAAGAATGATGACTGTACACATGAAACAAGTGTGGAAAAATGCTGATAAATTGTTGGGGCCAACATTACTATTTCTTTAGTGGATGCCTAAAAACTTTCATGAGAAATAGTAAAACAAACAAAAAGGCTGTCATGGCTTTCACCACTCTCAAGTCAAAGTTTCTTCTTCTTCTTTTTTTTTTTTTCCATTGTGTCTCTGAGTTATAACTCAGAGTGTATCTTTACACACTGGGCTTAAAAGATTCATGGCTTTTGTTTTAATATTGCACTTCTTAAACCCAGCTATCACAACATATCACAAGCCTTTGACATAATACTTGGAGAAGTCAAAGTTTCTTAAAACTTCATTCAAGATGCCCAGACTGAACTTCATTTCGTAGTACTTACTATTATTTTTATTTTTTGAGACAGAGTCTCACTACATTGCCCTTGATAGAATGCCATGGCGTTACAGCTCACAGCAACTTCCAACTCTTGGGCTTAAGTAATTCTCTTGCCTTAGCTTCCCAAGTAGCTGGGACCACAGGCATTGTAGCACTTAGTATGTCTATCATTCCATTTCTTGTTTTTGACACTTGGCGGGATTCTTTGGTTCTCTGGTCCATGCAGTAAGGACTATATGCTATAGAAAGGTAAGCAGAAGCCCTTCGATCACTTCTTTTCTAAGGAAAAAATACCAGACTTCTGTGGGTATCTTTGAGATTGGTACCACCATCCCAGACTTGAAATGCAGAGGTGCTGACTCTTTATACATTTTCTTTTTATATCTCTGCAATTTGCCTGGGTTCAAGTCCCTGCTTTGCCACTTACTGTGTGATCCTGGGCAAGTTACTCGAGCCTCAGTGGCCTTATTTGTAAAACAAGATTAACAGTACCTACCTGTGCTTAAGACTTGCAAGACTGCTAAGTGCCCCACATCATCATTCCTCACATCCTTTTCTGAGTAAGAAAAGCCCTTCCTTACCCTGCATATATGAGGTGTAAAGTCACCAGCTACAGGGTAGTTAGGGTAGATTGTGCCCATGTGACTCAGTCTAGACCAATGTGCTGTGAGTAGAAGTGATACATATGTACAATTTCTGGGTTATTCACACTCAAAGAAAAGTTGCCTGCCTGGCGATTTGTCTTTTTCATTTCCCATGAGTTGGAGTGTGACTACCTCAGGAATGGTGAAGCATTGACATGAAGGAACTTAGATATCTGAAGGATCTCATGGGACAGACCTACTTTATCAGCTACCTGGCAAGGGTTGACAGTTGTATGAGAGAGAAATAAACTTCTGTATTACCTAAGTCACAGCATTTTAATAAGTTAATGTTTATAAAGTACTCAGCCACATAGGGAATATTATACAAGTAATGGCTTTATTATGACAGATGTATCATTTTGCATTCTGAAGGCTGGAAATTATACTTAATGTCTCAGGCTACCAGTATCCTACAATACAGACATAAACAAAGTTGGTGTAATCTAAGCCATATATTCCTTGCTTATTTAGACAATAAGGAGAAGGGAAACCATAATTTATTGAATTCATAAGTGCCAGGCATTTCATATGTTAAATTTATCTCTAAAAAAGCTCCATGAGGATGGAGAGATGAGTAAACAGAGGCTCAAGGTCAATTCCCCAAGATCACTTTTGCCTGGGGTGGCTTGGGGGTGTTTTTTCCATAATATACTCTGCCTTCTCTGCCAAAAGGCAGGTTAACAGGGAAGTTGGGAATTAGTACATGTAAGGCCCTAGGAATCATGTTACTCACATAGAGGTACGGTACTTGATGTCATCTTTTTCAGCCAGCTCCTCACAGGTGAGGCCATTGTGTTCTTTCCAGAGTCCCTGACACTTTCTACAGGTTTCCTGGGGATAAAGAACAGACACAAAGACAGCTCCTTGTGAGTGGATACCATAAAAGTTCCTGTTCAACAAAAGGGATGTGAAGTGAGCTTTACTTGGCTTGAATTTTCTCAGAGGATCTCTCTCCTGTTCAGCAGGGTATTTCTAAAGATATCTTTCAACAGAAGAGGCAGAAATCATTAAAAGAAAGAACAAGGAAATTTTCCTTTCCTTTGATCAAGAGAAAGTGTTGTTCACATCACCCAATTTGTGTAATGCTTTCTAAAATACCAGAGGACACCTGAAAAAACCACAGGAGACAGATCCTGGGTGATCTGGTTTTTAAAAATAAAACACCATGAGCTGCTTGAGGGCAGGGTCTGAGTAAAGGCTGCAATCATGATGTCCAGTATCCTGCCACATAAGAGACAGTGCTATTGAACTGAACAATGGCCCAAATTAGGCTCACGGGAAGTCCCTAAGGGATCTCTGCCCAGCCATCCATCACTTATAAATACGGATGTCATCCTTTATAGCTGACCTTCATTTGTAATTAGGAATCGAAAAAAAATCACCACCTTTTATTCTAAGATTCTTCATAGTTTAACTAGACAGGGTGGTGAAGAGATCAACACTCTAGAAAGAGGAACAGCAAAGGAAGACTCTGGCAGACAAAACTGGGCAAAATTGGTTCTTGGTTCCCGTAGTTGGACTGCAGACAGCGAACACATGCCTTGTGAGACCACACAGGCCCAGAAGGGCACAATTTCAGTTTGGTCTTTATTCTAAGAGAATTAAGGAGCCACCAAAAGGTGTCAAGTATGGAAGTAACAAGGTCAGGTTTGTGATTTTTTTTTTTTTTGACTCAGAGCCTCAAGCTGTCCCCTTGGGTAGAGTGCTGTGGCATCACAGATCATAGCAACCTCCAACTCCTGAGCTCAAGCGAATCTCCTGCCTCAGCCTCCTGAGTAGCTGGGACCACAGGTGCCCACCACAATGCCTGGCTATTTTTGGTTGCAGCCATCATTGTTGTTTGGTGGGCCCGGGCTGGATTTGAACCCGCCACCTTAGGCGTATGTGGCTGGCGCCTTAGCCACAGCTTGAGCCACAGGCGCCAAGACAGGTTTGTGATTTTAAAAGATTATTCTGGGTGAAAAATAGATCAGATGGAAGAGTGGAAGAAAGTGTAAAAGACAGGAGCTAATAAAAGTCATCAGGAGAAGGGCTAGGGAGGCCAAAACGAGAGTGGTAGGAGATGACATGAAATAAAGTTGGCTGATTTGGGAGAAAAGGAGGAAGTCAGATGGTGATGGCTCAGTTCTGAGAGTGGGAAGGAGTCAGGGGTGATGACCTGGATTCTGGTTTGTGCAATCAGAGACAACAGTGAGTGCTGGGTAGAGGGAGGCAGGGAACACTTGCATAGTGTTAACACAGGAGGCCTGTGGGACATTGAGTGGAGAGGAGACGTAGGAAATTGGGTATCTGCTCCATATGTTCTAGATCGTATCTTCACAGCAATTCTAGAAAACATCTCCTACTGTACTAGCTGTACTCTACTAGCTATTACCCCCCCCCCCCCCCAGTTACTGGGTTTTCTTTAAGATGACTTTAACAAGGTACAGAACGGTATGAAGTTTGTAGACAGATACCATCATTTCAATATTTAAAAGGGTGGTACTGGAGGTGGAATATGGTGACATGTAAAATCAATCTGAAAGAATACTAAGAAATTGGTGATAGAAATGCCCTGAGAGGCTGAAAGGCAGGGGTAGAATTTTTTCACTGTAGATCTTTTCTACCTTCTGATTTTAGTCTTTTTTTTTTTTTTTTTTTT